GTGAATCCTGACTGAAGTACTTTAATATAACCTGGCAACTAAAACCAAAAGTTGAAGCAATTAACAGATTGTATTCACTTGGGTAACTACTTATCGATAGTGTAATGAAAGTGTCAATGACACTGTAGCTCACCACAAAAAAGGACACAAATGAGTGAGTAAGAAGAAGTCAGTTTTAATTGAGCAACCATCGACGTACATTATAGAAACGATTGCCATCTGTATATCGCAATAATAATTTATAAACCAAAATGAATCACAATTTGTGACTGTAGATGACGCGCTTTGTAGCGATGGCATTTAAAATAAATAGGTTATGCTGCGTTCCGACATGTTTTGTAAAACTTTACTCTAATATAGACGTTTTTATCGGAGGTGGAAGGAATACGCAAATTTTTGCAATTAAAGATAATTTTTCCAATGAAATCTTGTAAAAGAACGCAGACGAGTGTGACACCACAGGACTGTTTGTGTCTATATAATATGCTATATAATTGCAAACCTACTAAATTTGCATTTTTTTGTAAATATCAAAACCCCTAGCCCTTATTCATTCACATACCAAAAATGAGCAAAATCCGTTGAACCTGAACTGACAAATGGCAATTCCCATTTTTGCCAAAAAATCGCCGTGGCTCGAAAGTACGTCGACTGGCGTGCTCCAACATAGAACGTTTAACATGGGAGCATAGCAGTAACAACTACACCCAATTTCAAACATGTGGGTCAAACGGTTCCTGAGTTATCGTTGACCGAAGCCAAATGTTGACGGACGAACGGACGAACGGACGGACGGACGGACGTACGACGGACGACGACCCATGGCAATAGCTCAGCTTGACGATGTCAAGGTGAGCTAAAAAACGACAGTGAATATAAATAGCATTAGGATTTTAAAAGGATCAGATATATATAGAACAGTGATGAATGACATCTCTTACTTTTGCTAGTAAAATCCTGCCTTTTCTTGCAATATCTTTGAGACTGCCACATAATTTATGAGGTAATTTCACATTCAGACAGATTATGTAACCACTGTATTATATAATCCCATTATATATAAATTATTATGTAAAACCAATTCGATTGATGAGAAAAAATCTCTACTAAGAAAGATTTTGCAATTGTGTTTAAACAATGAATAATTGTGAAACTATGTCATTTAAAAATAGGGGTTATCAATTTTCACCACTTTATGAAACTAGATGCAGGTTGTTAAATAGACTATGTCACTTAATAGATACAGTGGAAAATAATGCTCAATTCTTATGATAATGTGAGCCATCTTAGACAATATTACACCAATTCATTTCATTTTTATTTTCAATAATAAGATGATGATAAATAAACACAAAATTATTCTTACTGCCAGTCTTAATCCAGTCTTAATGTTTGTGTACTGCCTATTATTATTAATCCGACATAGATGCCATTAAAATGCTCACTGTACAACACATAATCCCTCTGCACACATGCCTGCACACAAACTCCCACAAAGATAAAGCAGGTGGGGCAGAGCACAAAATCCACACAACACTCGGTTCGTTGCGCACCACGACCACAAATACACGACCAATCGCCTCCTTATTGGTATGTGTGCGCAGCCCAAAGCTCCCTTGTTTGAATTATCACTCTTACACTTGGGTCAAACTCAATTTGTCTTGAGAAATCTAGTAAATTACTGCTGAAAACTCCCACTCTATAGCAATGTAAACGACTTGTTTATACGTGAGAAACAAGTGCCGCAGAGCGACAGCGCTCAACTGACTTGTACTGTAGCTAGGTATTCTTCTGATAAACTCACTGGCAACCGAATCAAGTGCGCCCTCCCGCCACCGCGTTCGCGCTCAGAGCATATATCTAGGATACTACTAATTAATACAGATCTAAAATATATGATAGCTAGGCTTTGGTATACCGGTAGTACAGTAATAAAGATACAGCTGTGTAACTTTAATGACTTCGCTATATTAACATGTTATCATGGATATGCGTCGAGCGCGAGCGTAGTGGTGTTGGTGGGGGGAGAGTGGGGGGAGGGGGCTCTAATAGCAAAAGCAGTTGCCGCGAGATGGCGCGTTCAAGTGTCATCAATAATCAAAGATGGCATCACCCTTCGTGCGTGATAACCTCACTCCATTGAGTTGCTGAAATCCAAGTATATTCAGGCAGGCGAGAATTTTGCTCAGCTGTGAGAACTTTAACACATCTGCATTGCAGGTTGCCAGGCAATAAC